ATTTATAATAATTCGATAAAACTTGGTGAACAAATAAAACAAGATTTACATCAAAGTTCTCAATTTGACTATATCAATAATAATTATCTGTATTCCAATTCGACTACAAATCAGGTGAGAAGTTCAAAACAAAGCTTAGAAAAGATTTTAACTTTTAGCATTCTACAAGTTTCGTAGTCAATTACTGTATGTTATGTAACAAAGATTGATAGAATTCAAACTTTTTTTTGTCGTAAAATTACAAAATAAATTCGGAACAAAAAAAGAGTTTTAAACTGTAGCCTACCATGTTGAAGGTGTAAAGTTTGACTTACGAAGGAAATATCTCAATTGATTGATCGTTTTGGAATCTGAACTATGTGCATCATGTAGACCCTACTGAGTTATGAATACCATGAAGATACTGCATTTTCATGACTTTTTTAAAAATCAATACGGTGCCCCTCTAAGGGCACTAGGAAAATTTGTTTTCAAATTTCGATTTGAAATTTTTTACAGAGATAGATCTTAACAAGAATAGTCTATTGTGAAAGTTTTAGTATTGTCAAACTTGAAAGTTGAATTTCAAGTTTGACACTATCCTCCGTCCGCTTATTAGGAAGAATTGTAAGTTGAAATGTGTACGATTAATGATTTTCTACCATCTCAATGCAGAAGTCGATTCAAAAGATCTTTAAAACTTGAATTTTGAATAATTTTTATAACAACTTTTTTTCGTCAAAAGTCATTTATTCTCAGTTGAATTTGTATAGTCACAGATTTTTAAAAATTTTATTGTAAAATTAATTATTTAGCTTGATTTACAAACATATAATGAAACAACGACAACCTCATTCCCATGGATTGTCTATAATCAAGAGCAAGCTCATGTGTTTTTAGCTCATCAACACACAATTGATACTCTTCTATCTATGCCACATACAAAAGAATCATGTGATGAAATGATTGTTGAATGTCGTCGATTCTATCATGATAATGTACCAGCTCTAACTGAAATTAATACATTCAATCAAAGTTACAACTCAAATATTGCTCTTCAATGGTATTCACGTAGTGGATTTCTTTATCGAAGAATTAATCAAGTACTTCGATCAAATAATATCGATGGAATGTTTAAAATAAGATATTTTCTTAAAGATCTCTATACACAACTCAATGCATTATATAGACAAGAAAATTTATGTAATTCACATCAACAACAAGATATAATAATGGTTTATCGTGGTCAACATATGTCCAAAGCAGAATTTGAATATTTTCAAAAGATTCAAGGTAATATTATATCAATCAATACATTTTTATCAACAACGAAATCATTTCAAACTGCACTTGACTTTGCAAATTCATCCATGGAGAACAATGATATGATTCCAATAATGTTCTTCATCAAAATACATCAATTTTATGAATACGTTCGACCTGTTGCTAATATTTCCAAATTTTCGGTCTTTCCAGATGAAGAAGAAGTTCTATTTGCTATGGGCAGCATCTTTCGTGTTGAGAATATTGATATGTTAAATACAATAGATAATATTCCTATTATATATTTAACATTGATGGATATAAAAGAATTGATGAATAATAATTCTTAAATTGATAAATAAACATTGAAAAATATTTCTTTCATTATAGATAATAAAATTATTTGATTTTTATACAAGCATTTCTTACGTTTCAACGAAATCTAACATATGATACAAAAGTAATGTGACAAATATCGAACTCTACCTCTTTTCGATAGAAAAGCACCGAAAGAAAACTTCATTTACCAGTAGATAGATAATGGTTTTTTTCGTTTGAATTGTATATAACTTATGTTTACCACACGTTCAAGAAATATGTCCCATCCCCCCTCCCCCCGCACAAATTGAAAATCTGTTTTACTGTCTGGCAAATTTTTAAATAGATGCTGCTCGGGGGATCTTTGCAAGCTATCCTCCTCCCTTGGTCCCAATTTTGTTTTTTGTGTATGGAAATTTTCCCGAGATTTGGCTTATCCTTGAAGGGGGATAGGTGGATCTTTCCAAAGCTGTTCCTGAAAAGCTTTCGTTAACAGACTGTCTGCGAAAGTTTATGAAAAGTGTTTGCTCCCTCCCTCATTCTCAAAAATAATCGAGAGCCTTGACAGCAGCTACATTGTGTTTCACATTTTAATCCCGTAGAGACTGTACTAACAGCTATTTGGTTTGATCATATGATCGTCATGGTTCAACAAGTTATTTTCTTTGTTGCTTATCGAATAGTAAATGAAGTAACTATAGATCTTTGGTTTCAAATTCAAGTTAATGAATGGTTTGTTTAATCATTTCTCTCGAAACGAATTTTTATTATTTTACTACCATATTTGGATGTTTACTAGAAAACACTATCGACTATATGACCATCGCCTTAATACATAAATATGATAAGAGATAGTCAATATTTTTCTTTTCATTCAAAATGATGTGTCAATGATCATTTAATTTCGAAAAAATAATAAGAAAAAAGATTACTACTCTCATGATCGTTGGAATGTTATTTGTAAGTGTACTTAATCACGATTTCAATTTTTACATTGAATTTGAGAAATCTTTTCAATTATTAAACGATTCATTGTGATAGAAGTTTTTACTGATTTTTTTTTCAAATGACCTAACTATCTAGTAGAAAAAATATAGTTAATATCTATTTAAACTTGTTTTCTTACGTTCCTATTGGATATATATGACTTATACGTTACTCACTCTTGTACATTTGTTTTTCTTTTAAACATTCTTTTAATAGTTATTTGATACAGTATATATGAATATTATTGCAATATATATATTCGTCCTTGTCGATGACTTGTGATACTTGTTATACTATATGAAGCAATTAAAATAATGTCGTTCTTAATAATTGATTTACGTCATATTCTATTCTTCATTGATGTTAATGTTTTGTACTTATTCTTTCACTACTTTAAATTATATTATTTTATTCAAGAATGAAATACAGTAAAAGATAAAATATGTGCAGTCATAAATGTTTAACCGAAAAATCAATAAAAATATTTAAAAAATTTGTTCATTTAACTCATAAGTATCTAATAAAAAAACAAACCTCTTAAGCATGCACATGATGTATCTTTATTCTCTTATAGGTAAAAAGAATATATAAAAAGAGAAATAAAAACAAGCAAAAATAAGAAAAACATATTTTATATAATTTCATAGATATTATTTAACACGTCATAATATAAATCCTTCATATTTGAAGCAATAAAAACGATATATTCTTCACAAATGATAGAAATTTCACACAATCTTAATTATCCATTATATCATTTAGAAGATGTACTTTTTCCATTATTCGAAAAATATTATACAAATGATAGTTTACGTGTAACCATTGAAAGTGCAAATCATATTTGGTGTGCATATGAAAATGATAAATGTATTGGTTGTGTATTGATTACTGATATTGGTTCTTATGGTGGATTGTATGTTTTATTATTTGGTGTTAGAAAATCAGAACAAAGACGTGGAATTGGAACATATTTATTAGAAAATATTATTAAATGGTCTCGTAAACATGGATATATGTTTATTTATCTTCATACAGCATATGATAATGAAGATGCTATTAGATTATATGAAAAAGTTGGTTTTCAAAAAGAATTTCATCAATCTGAGTATACTAAACAATTACCACAGTGTGAATCTGATGTACTTCCAATGATGTTATTTATTTAAAATAGAGTACTTTTGATAAGATTTTCAATATTTTTGTTTTTAATGTTACTTGTGAAAAGTATACTGGCCATATCTATTTTTCGAATAAATATCGTTAGGAAAAATATAGAGATCTGCGATTTTCATCATTTACAAGAAGATATTGGAGAAGAGTGGCATAGAATTATGTCAAATTTGATCCATTTGCCGATCGATTAATCATATGAAATCTCAATCGATATTTTCACAAAGAATATTCTGAATGCATTCTTCATTCGCTTTTTTGATTTTAACATGATCGTTTTGTAGAAAAAAATTGTGCTCATTCGATTTGCGCAAAGCTAACATCTCTATCTCGCATCGTTCACAAGCTATAAGAATTTTTCTGGGACCTCTAGCTTCGAACAGTTGGCCTGGAATCGATCTGAAGAGACACAACTTACAACGCTGAATCTAGTGATGATGATGTTTGTTTTTGGTTTCAAATAGCAGCGAAGACAGAACACTAACTCCTTTCTTGTTGTGGAAAGTGCTGCTACTCTAATTATCACCGTCTATTCTTGATAACACGACGCATATAGCGAGAGCACAAATGCTTTCCTACAACAAGAGTGATGCTCCTGCGCTTTGACTCCGTCGCTATTTGAAAACTAAAACAAACATCACCAATAGACGCAGAGCGGTAAGTTAGCCCTCTTCATATCAATATTTCGGATGATCCCAAGCCAATTCATCGAAATCAGAGGTCTTGCAAAAACTGTGATAGCTCATGAACGAAGTGGAATAGAAGTGTCTGGGTTTCGTAAATCGAATGAAAAAAGCTCTCAGAATATTCTTGATGAAAACGACTATTGAGATTTCATCTGATGAGTCACAACCGCTAAACAAATCAAATTTGACAAGCTTCTATGGTCCCGATGCTCTCTTTTGAATGATGAAAAACTGCAGATCTCTCTCTCTCTCTCTCTTTTTCCTAGAGAAAGTTGTTCGAAAAATATGCACGGGCATTATATTATTGAACAGACAGGAATGCCTTTTGTATATCTATAATATTATCCAATACATCAATCAGCCTGACAATAACAAACGTTAGTTTAATATAATTTTCATCAATTCTTTATTTTGTTTGAGAAAAATATTCTGCTATTGCATATTCAAAGAAAAATTTATTTTATATGTTTGAATATGAATGAAGACATCAAGTCTTAATTTCTGAACAAGTTAGTTATGATTTTTATTTCAATATACAGTTTTGAATAAAAGAATAGATCAGTTGTTTATGTAGTATTTTGTTTTAATTACTAATTGTTATGTAGTGATCTGAGATACTGTTGTACTATTATTGTTGTTAATGTCAAATGTATCTAGAAAGATAATGAAAAACAATGATAAATGAATTGAATGTTATAATTAAAACGATTATTCTAGTTCTAGTTCCATTGATGAATATTCTCAACTAAATATTTTTAAAGAAACTAAAAATGAGAAGAGTTTTCAATGATTTAGTTATGTATTCTATTTTTCCAATTGAACGATTCAATTATCTCTTGTTTAAGAACATACAAAAATAATTTCTATTGATAAAACTTAGATTAGATTACAAACCGTTTTCTATCATCATAATTTCACTTGTAGTTACTGACATTTGCGTTGTTTTCATGTTCATAGTCACCATCGTTGTTGTTGTAATATCTGTAGAGTTGGTAAATTTAAATATAAATTGAAAAGAATTTCATTAATTTTTATTATATGTCAAATCTGTTTAATATATTTTATACATACCTTTATTTATTGACGAAATTTCATCTGTTGTTGATACCTCTGTCGTTTGCATTGTCATTGTGCTTGTTATTGTCATATCTGATGAATTCATAACTAAATCGAAATGAATCTTATTGATTTGATTATGTATCAAACTAATTTGCTTATATTTATGCATAAAACTGATTACATACTTTCATTTGTTGTTTCTATTTTTGATGTTGTTGCTGTAGTTATTGTTGTTGTTGGTTTTGGTGCTTTTGTCCTTTTTGTAAGAACGATAGTAGTTGGAATAACTATTGCCGCAATGACTATGATACTAAGAGTAATACCCAGAATAATCCATAATTTTTTTCTTTTAACAGTTACATTTCTAAATAGTTCAAATTTTGTTTTTTTGGTAAATTTAAAATAAAAAAAGAATTTCTACTCTATCGTTGATGATGAATTCGTTGCATGACTTGTTTCTAATACCATTGATGAAAGTTGAAACAATTCAAACTATGAACATTGATGATTTAGTTCAAATGATCTACAATACTACTCAAATTCTATTTCGTGTTACTGTGTAATAATTTTTTTGTGATAAAAATAATTCTATGTGTGTATTCTCGTTTTCTCTTTTTAGATAAAATGAATTAGCATTAGAAAAATATTCTCAAACGTCATGTGATATTTACTAATGATTATTGATATTCTCCATCTGTTATTTTAATTTGTACATTTTTGTTTTTGAAGTCAGTGTATTCATGAGAAACTATTATCTAGAAAACATTAGCTATTTGCTGAATAATCATTTATAATAAAAATATCCTAGGAAAGCCTTCTGTGTATGTGTTTTCATATCCGTTGATTTTAAAAAAAGGGAAGTTTGTCGGCGAACATATTTTAACACTTTAATTACGCAAGCGATTACCAAAGTTCATTTTTTTGAATTTATTAGACTTTTTAAATCATCGGATTTATCTGAACTGATCCTTATTGATAGCATATAATATATTTTAACTATATCAAAAGAGAACGATAGTTTTGAAGAGTCAGTCTGCATCCTCAGGTGTCGTTCTCGACGTGACCCTCAACTAGATACCTGCTTTCAGTCTAGTTTCTTTCTTTTGATAATAACATATATAATGGAATTTATAAAAAAATCAATTCTGGAAGCTGCTGGATTATGTTGCAGAGTAACTTTTGCTTTTCTTGAAATAAAAAGTATCATATATGTATATTCAACAAAACGTATTTTTTATAATAAATAGAGCAAATATAAGTAGTAATTATTGTACTATGCATTGTAGGCGTTATATTTATTGTTCAGATAAACTGTCGACTTTGTTTTTTTCAACATTGGCCATCTACTTCATTAGTAATTTGCGACGAATAGAAAAGTGATAAAATTAATGGCAAATATTTAATAAAAAATCTATTGACATTAACAGTATGTCATAATATTCTTTGTAAATTTATGAGTCCTTTCATGTAATTATTTCGAAAATGAATTTGTTTTTTTTTCGTAATATAAGAATGTATTTCTAGAAAATGACTTTTCCATTAGGCACATTGTGTGGTTGTGGTATGTCTTTGATAGTTTTTTGAAAAACTGTTTTATGTTTGATCTTTTTTATAAGAGAATCATCGATGCAAAGCACAAGGTAATATTTGTGTTATTAACAGACATGTTTATTTGCTTTTATTTATACATGTTGTTTTTAATGATAAATATACTTCTGTTTTGCATCTATATCTTTATCTTTTTATAGATTATTGTTAAAAGAAGATAAATCTCTTTAAAAAAAAAGTTTATTCTATCAATTCAGAAGAATTTTTTTAAATTTATCTTTTATTAAAAGAAGATAACCTTTGGATCTATTTTATGTTTAGAATAATTGTACGATGAATAATTGCATTCTTATGAAGTGTATGTCTCATGTCATCGAAAACATTTGGCAAGTTTATTCTTTGCTTACTTTTGAACAGACTATAGTTCCGATTAAAATAAAGAATAGATATAAACCTATGTTCATTTGTATTGTTAACATCTAGCATTGAATTTTATTTCTCTTCTTTCTTTTATTTCGATTATGCTACGTTCAATATCCATTCAGCATCATCATTCTTTTTCTTCGTAGTAATGACTTTTATGGAGTGACAGGCAAATATAAAAGGCCTTACTATTTCTTTTGTTCATTGACAAATTATTCGACATAATAGTCATCAGATGAAAGATGGAAGAGAGAAACAAGGACATCAAGGAACATCATCTGTCTGTCTCTTTCTACTTTATTTTCGTTTTTTCTCTTTCTTTTCGTGTCTATATTGAGCGAAGTATAAAAACGAGAGTATACTAATTGTCCGAATATACACATACACTAACTGACAGCAAAAGATACGGTTTTTTTCATTGATCAGATCAAAAATGTAGAGGACATGAAGTCAATCATTGTTGTTGGTATTTTACTTCTTGGTTATGTTGCTCTTAGTGGAAGTGAAATGCAATCATCTTTTGTTTTTGTTTTTTTTTTTTGATAATAAAATGTGTTTTTTTTGGTAGCATTTCAATGCTATTCTCATGATGAATGCTCAATTAATTGTATACAATTGAGTAATACAATAAGATCTTGTACTGATGATGATAATAGATGTTACAAAGCTGCATTTCCTGATGTTATTACCCGAGGTTGTGCTAAAGAACGATATAATGTTCAAGTAAGTTCTATTGTTTCCTTTTATTGATATCAAATAAATGTAATCATTATTTTATTGACTAGATCAACGCTAATTCAGTTCTGGCTAATGTCTGATGTGAAAAAGATTTGTGCAATTCAGTAATAACATCAAAACGAACACTTCGGATACTCTTTATGATCATCAGTGCCTTAATTTTGCCTCGAATATAAAAAAGAAAGAAACTGTATCAGATAATCTTGTTCTTTTTGTTCTGGTATAATTCATTCAATCTTCTTCCCTTTTTTTTTCTTTTAGTTTAATAAATTTTGTTTTGTCTTAGTGTCTTTTATAAGATAATAATTGTTTTGATGTATATGCTATTATTAATTGTTCGAGAATAATTTATGATCTCAAATGTAGCAATATGTGGTCTGATATCAGTTGATTTATGCTGGTTGCTTTCATTTGCTATATTGTAAGTAACATTTGTGTGATATAGCAAAACATTATTTTGTCAATTATCATTTAAATTTCGAAAAAATCTAAAACTTAATTTTCAAATAATTCAAAAATGGTAATTCTTTTTTCTTTGATTATTATTAATTTGTATCATCGAGACAGAAATTAGACTAACCAGAAAAGGTCTCCAACTGATATTCTCTAAAAATGTTCGTGTCCTTAAGTCTTTCTCTCCTCGAATTATGATCATTTTACTGAATTTTCATCTGAAATTTTCCTCAATAACAGATCTCATCGTATTGATTATAATCTGACAGTTTCAGCTCACCAATAAGGTTTTCTTAAGATATGAAATACCTAAAAAATTGGCTATTTCGGGATCTTTCATGAGAATGTAATGATTCTTTTTGAAACGTGTTATCTCAAAGGAGAGGCAATCTATTTGAGCTGCAACTTTTGGGATATAATAAGTATCAAGAGAACTGTTATTAGGATGAGTTCCACACGTAAATTTCATATTGTGCCTTTTTCCTTACTAAGATATAAAAGTACGAGTCCCCCTATATTGCGTAGCGGTTACTTGTTATTCATGTTTTTTTTCGGTATCTTTACCAGACTCATCAAGCAGAAACGAAAAAAATCATTAGGGAGCTGATCATTTTTTCTCTTTCTGTCGAGGCAGAGAGAATAACTATATCACGTGAACACGGTATGTGTGATATTGCCTCTCGCGTCCTTGCTACGACTTTATCATAGAAGAGAAAATGATATTTTACTTTTTGGCCTATGATTAGTTTTATATAACATATAAAAAGAGGGGTCCCTCTATATTGCGTAGCAGTCACTTGTTCATCATTTTCTTTTCGTTGCGCGTTTATCATACTCATCGGGTAAGAACGAAATACATCACTAGGCAGGCTATCATATTTTTTCTTTCTGCCGCAGAAAGGAGAACGACTGTATCGTATAAATACTATTTGTGTAATAGATAGGGTGATCTAAAAGTCTTGGTACTTGTTTTAAAAAAATTATCTTTTTCTTCTATATTACAAATCCAAAAATGCTCAAAGTTGGACGTCTTGCCCCTTGTAACTAGACCAATATTATTCTAAATTTTCAAATCTGTAGTTCTTATTATATGGAAGGTATATAGGTTCGTATGATAGAGAAAATTTTTTTTTCATGTCCTGAAATCAAAATAGCAAGGGATTATATAAAAAGAATAAAAGAAAAACACTAGAACGAGGAAATACTAAAAGAATTATAACGAATCGAATTATATCTTAACATTAATTAGATGTCTATAGTGTATATATATTTAAATATCTTTAACTCTGCCTGAATGTATATTAACATATGACCATTGTCTATCATTCATTTTCTACAAATCTTTTGCAACAATTTCTCATTTTACCATTGTGTTTTCGACATTTGATTCTTGATGTTTTTATTTAATTCCACGACTCTCACTAAATATTTATGCCCCGGAAATACAGAAAACTTAAACAACAAATTTTAACTTCGCATGATTTGCGCCAAAAGTTGTCATCAAAGGATTTTGATAGTAAATTAATAAGATTACAATGTTTAAACGACAAAGAAGGTTATTCAGTCAATTAAAAAGACTGTAATGATTTATGACAACGTAAAATCTTCTGTTGTTTTCTATTGTACTAATAGCGAAAATTAATTATTCTAGACATTTCTTTTCAATAAACTTTTTTGACTTTTTTTTGGGATGCGAAAAAAAAAACTTTCATTATCATACGAACCGACATATCTCTTCCATAATACAGATTAGATATTTGAAGATTTAGGATAATATTGGTCTAGTTACAAGGAACTTAGACGTCCAACTTTGAGCATTTTTGGATTTGTATATCTCGAAAATGTGCTTTGAAACATATGTTTATGAGTTTTTTACTATCATTAGAAGATAACAGGAATGAAGCAGGGCTGTTTTATACGGTGCCTTTTATTGTGATGATTGGGTTTTGACATATCATATCAGTTGCTCGCCTTATTTCTTATTTATTTTTTCTTTGAGTCATGTATTTCCACAATAGGGGTCATCAATTTGCATTTCAAAAAAAATTATTAAACCCATAAGTAAATAAAAATTTTGTAAATATAAATTTAAAATAAATTAACAGGAAGATGTCATCCCTAATCAATGCCTTGCCCAGAAAAATTCGAGAGCCGTTAGCAGCGAAGTTTTAACACGGTGTCTATGGAATGCTTGTCGGGCAACCTAGTCAGTTTGCAATGATAGACATGAGGATTGGCTGTATCGCCTAGCAGCTACTGCCTTTTACATAGAGATCAGATAGAAAAGAGTACGACATATTGTACTTATGATCTTGTTTTTTTCTTCGAAAAGGGGAACGTAGTTTCTTTTAAATAGGAAATAAAGGGTGAAAGTTGACAAAGACTAGATCGATGCATTATAAATCTTCAGTATAAACTTTGATTCATTTTCTTACTTAAGCTTATCATGGATTTCTATTCGGGTAAGTGATAACTTTCAACGAAACTCAATATTATTCTTCGTTTTTTATGACGCGGTTTGTTCTGACATTTTTCTTGTCTCATTGTAGATTATAATAAACGTAATGTATGACGCAAAAGTAATGTGACAAATGTCAAATCCTATTTCTGTTTCGTTGGAAAGCTGCTGAACGAAAACTTTTTTACTAGAAGATGTTTCGACATTTGTCACATTACTTTTGCATCATACATTGCATTGTTCATCTCTTCCACACAAACATAATCACCCAAATTTGTGGCAATGGCATCAAGGTAAGTAAGTTGCTTATCCTCTTCTTTTATATCATAGATTAGAACAAATTTTGTGAGTGATTCTGATACAGAATATGAAATCACATTTCACGGGTGAACGATGGTTATTTTGGTGGAAAAATTCTAGTATTTCTAAAGCAGTAGACTATCATAAGATAGGAATATAGTTAGTGTTCAGCTATACGTCACGCGGATTGAAGACGAAGAAAAAGGCAACGATTAATCACTGTTAGGATCGTGAATTTAAAGTGGAACTCTTCTAAGCGATGAATCTATCAGTCAACACAAAAAGTCATGAACTGGACTAAAATAACACCTTTAAAATATACTGAGTGCAACAAAAAATTTAACTTTTTTATCATTCAATTAACAATTCAATTCATTTTTATGTATAACTGAATTGGACCTATTACAATTTCGCTATCTTAAACGCGGCCTTGTTCCAATTTCACTGTTTTCTGGATAATATTGTTAATTTGGCACAATCGTCAAAATTCTTTAGGAGTTATGACAATATCAATTATAGCTGGGTATTTTATTTTCCGAATGCCATTGGAGTTCAGACAATATACGTAGTAGTTGGAACTATAGTGTTTGGTAGAAACGCAGACTTTCTCATTTCTAAGTTGATACAAAGCTAAGAATTACTATTTGAGGACTAAATATCACATAACAAATTATTTTTATTCTTTTTGACTAATAGTATCAAAAAAAAGAAGGAATGCATATAGTTTATCTATAAATAAGCCTATCACAAGAAGTTAACAAAGAAAACAAAATTTTATAACAAAAAAAAAAAGTATTTTTTCAATATAACGTACGTTTCTCGAATAAAAACAACAAGAAAGTCCAAGAGAATTTCAATTATTCAACATTGTCATTTTCAACATCATATGAATTTACAAAAAGAGAATATTTCGAGAATTTCTTAAGACAAACTTGCTTAGAGATCATACACAACGACTGCGCATCCCAACAGGATATCGTTACTCAAATATAGTCTTCTTAGTCACATTTTTCGTGCCATATTATAGTAGTGTTCTCGAATGTATTAAAATCCCAAATTTATGCGAAGTTTACGAGAAATCAGGATCTTTCTGAAGTCTTTTTTTTTGAAGAATTCAGTTTCAAAAGTATTTCTTTCATCTTCTCGAATGGAGAAAATTGTTGCAATTTTCAAATCAGATATGAAGTGCTCTATGCATCTTGTTGAGCAATGTCTAAAACAATTAACTTTTTCAATAGTATCTTCATCATTAAAAATATTTAAAACGCATCTGCACATCGACTTCAAAGGTGTTCTCACGTCTTTTCCAAAACTTGATCGATGAGGTAACTTCATTGTACACAAGAAAAAGATTTAAAGTTTCTTAGATCAAAATGTGAAAGAATTTATTGGTAAGTCTTTTTAAGTACTAAAATTCATATCACTACTAGAGAAAAGAGAAAACTCAATTAATTAACTGTATTCGTATATAGCTGAATCAGAGAAAGTTCTCCGTTTGTTGTTCTCAGCATAAATACTTTTTTCGAAGTCAACGAATAACAAAACTGATATAGCTGACATTGTTGAAGAATTATTTTTAAAATAGTATCTTCTTTTCAGTAACACAATGGTAACTTTATGGACAACATTACTCACCAGCCTGGATATTCTGGAGGTTGCTCCTACTGTCGCAAGAATACTTCATCTTTCATTGATGGCAACTTATTTACCAGCCAATGTAAATAACATCTCATAAGAGCAACGGTAAACTAGTGTCTTCTTTTATTTGCTTGAATGATTTCATTTGAGATTCATTTCAGATGTAGTTGCCTTGTCTGTGACATACAGAACAAGCTTAATTACTACTGTTTGGGAATGTTCAGCTCGACAAAGCATACAATCTCCAGGGATACATAACGCCAACAATTGCATACAGTTTTATTTCGACAAATAGTGCATCAAGCAATGACAGCAAATGAAGGTTATTGAAAGCTTTTTGCTTTCTCTTCATAAGTATTTTCGGTATTTTTGTGTTATTATAGACTTATTAATGATCCGACACAGTGTGACAAAAGCTTAGAATCCATCGCTTGTTTATTTATGGTTCA